GGCTCACTCCCTCTCTCTCTCTTTCTCTCTCTTAAATCCATAAACATTAGAAAAAAAAAAAAGTGAGTAATCTCTCGGGTGACGTGGAGGTACGGAGTGCCAGCACGGGAGGTTCTGGCCTCGTCAGAGAATTAGTCAATTCGAGGAACAGAAGTAAGGCCGCAGGGGCTGCAGACAGGAAGCCCATGAGGTGTGGAAGGGCTGGAGCTTAACCTAAGGGCAACGGAGAAGGATCTGATGCGTCTTGAATGTTTTCTTTGAAGGACCAGCGACTGAGGGACAACGACTTGGAGAAGGTTGGGGAGGAGGAAGTGTAGATAGGAGGAAGTGTAGATAGGAGGCTGGTGTGTGGGAGCCCAGATGCGGGTGTAGACTACCGTGGGGCGGCAGGGCCAGAAATGGGAGGACTCGAGAGCTACTCAGGAGGCAGAATGAAGGAGACTGGGCGAAGGGTTGGATAAGGAGGAAGAAAGAAGGGCCCGAGACACCTCGTCGAGTTCCGGACGGAGCCAAAGGATGCCCCACGGGCCCATTTCCTGAATGGGGGAGAGTAGGGGGAGGTGTGAAAGTCCGTTTATTCATGTAGATTTATTGATCTCTTAGTAAGAGGTGCTAAGGAGAGTAAAGGGTTGAGCAAAAAAGGCTGTCTTTGCCTGGAAAAAGGGCACAAAAGAGAAATGTCCCCCAAGTCAAGGCAATCCAGAATATTCCTGCTTTTTGGCCAACTTGTCCTGCTCCTGGATGGTGGTGGGAAGAAACGACTCTAAAGAAAACAGCTGAAGTTAAAAATCAATATCCCTTCTGTCGAGCAACCACTCACAACAGGCCAGGCGCCACTTGGCCTAAGGAAAATCCGAGACAAAGGCACACGGCCCCAGGCTTCAAGTTGCTCACAGTCCATTAGGAAAGACAAAAGAAGCATAAAAATAACCGGGATATGAAACACGCGGTCAGAGCCGGGTGAGAAATGCAGCGAAGTGGGCCGCAGGTCAAATTCCTCAGAAAGGCCTGCACCCCCACAGGATTCAGACCCCCCCCTGCCGTCCCCAACACCTTCTCCTGGGGAGAGAATTAGATTGAAATTAATTTTTCTGGCTATATCATGTTTGCAGTATTAACTCTCTTAACCACTGTTTCAAATTGTAAATAAAACAGGTACTTACTATACATTTCTCTAGGAAGCATTACTTCTATTGGCCTAAGGGTCTGAGAGGGCCTAATAGTACTTCAGAAACCTAACATTAACAGGGTTGCCAGATTAAGAATGCAGGGCATCCAGTTATATGTGAATTTCAGATAAACAAATGAATGTTTTAGTATAAACATGTCCCAAATATTGCACGGGACATAAACTTTAGGACAAAGGTATTTGTTGTTCAGCTGAGATTATAGATGGAATCCAAAGATGACCTCTACACGGCTACGTGGTAGGAGTCATTTAGAGTTCAAAGAGGGAAGGATACACTTTTATACTAAAAAACTCCTAATAATCCCTCTAGAAGTAAACGCCAAAGTATTCAAAGCATTATGCAACAAAACCAAATTATTGAAGCATAAGTATATCCCATACAATGTTTGGGACACACTTGTACTAAGAAAAGTATTCACTGTTTACCTGAAGTTCAAATTCGATTCAGATTTAACTCAGTGTTCTGTATTTTTATTTGCTAAATCTAGCCACTCGAACCCTAGATAGTCTTTAGCTGCACATTTGCTCTCTTCGTGTTTCCTCATGACTGGGCCCTTTAGGAATCTCTTTCTAAGATACCAGCTGGTTGTGAACCTGAACAGGGTGACTTGTCTTCCCCTAGTGGTGGACTTGGTCAGTTTATGTACCTTCAATGCCCCACTTCATCACTGGTGAAACACGGAGTGTCAGCCACAGAGCTATAAAAAAAAAAAAAAAAAAGAAAGAAAAAAAAAGAAACTTGCTTCTGTGAAGCTCGCCATTTAGCAGAAGGATATACGGAGGCATATCGCTATGAAATCTCTCCTAGGCAGCAAGCTAGACAAATGTGCAGGTGCCCAGGGTCACAAAGACGACGCAGGTGGATGAGTAGGGGTGTTTTAGGAAGATTTCAGAGTGGATGATGCACCCCTTTATTCTGTAAAAGTCATTATCATCTCTTTTTATGACTAAAATTCCAGAGTGGCAAAGCATTACAATATTTGGGACTATGCAACTATGCTATTTGTTGTATATTTATTTTTTATTTATTTATTTTTTTTAACGTTTATTTATTATTTTTGGGACAGAGAGAGACAGAGCATGAACGGGGGAGGGGCAGAGAGAGAGGGAGACACAGAATCGGAAACAGGCTCCAGGCTCTGAGCCATCAGCCCAGAGCCCGACGCGGGGCTCGAACTCACGGACCGCGAGATCGTGACCTGGCTGAAGTCGGACGCTTAACCGACTGCGCCACCCAGGCGCCCCTGTTGTATATTTAAGGACTAACTCCAATCTTTTGGAAAAAGGGACCATCTTTCTACTTGAGAGATAGGAAAACGTTTTCATTCATTCATTCATTCATTCATTCATTCATTTGCTTTCCTCTCAGCTCCTTCCTCTCTGATGGAGCTAGGAAATCTTGAGGATCGGGTTCAGGGCAGCGAGATTCACCGTGAGAAGGGCAGTTTACATTAAACCAGCGACTGAGAGGAACAATCTCCCCATGTCCTCTCTCTTCCTCAAATTTTTCTAGGCCTGTCAATTTTTGCTTTCCTCCTCATCAATGACTACTTCATCTGCAAGATATCCTCTGCTAGAATGTGAGTCCCAAGTTGGGACCGGCCTCCTAAAGGGTAGGAAACTGGTATTTCTTTCGCACGAAAAGCATCAAATTGTCTCTTCTTGCCTTTTTCTTCCCTCAGGTGAGGGAAAAGCTATTCCTCTTTTTCTTCCATCCATATAAATAGCCTATGACATATATTCCACATATATTTATGTGGCCTGCAAGACCTAGAATTCTGGGGTCACCTAAACCCAAGGAAAAAAATGCGGTGAGAAAATATTGGATGTTACTGGTATTTGTTAGGTTAACAGGGCAGTTCTTGGGCATCGGAGATGAATTTATTAGTATTTTGAAAAAGTACTGTCCATTTTGAAAAGAAAATTTGAGAAAGCTTATAAAAAACAGATTATTGAAGGGTCCCCGGTCCGAGTATCAGTTGTGTTCAACTTCAGATTAAATGTGTCCAAATGGCAGGAGAGATCAGTTTACGTACAGGATTGGGGAGTGTCGTCAGAAATTTCTGAATTTACTCGGAGAAGAAATATTTGTAAAAGGCAGGCAGTTCAGTTCAGGAAAGAAGCACACGCAACACCATCGCACAGATTTATCCAAGGCTGTGCTCCATCCACGTGTCTGAAGTGGAGGTTGTGAAAAGGAAAAGAACAAGCGAGTGAGCGACTTGTCCAGGGGCTGGGGGACGCAGGATGGCCGCAGTGGCTCCTTCAGGATCCTCGGCACTGGGCCTCAGCACTCTGGGCACAGGCATCGGCCCCCTTTGCTCTGAGCACTGTGTGAAGGCATCAGTTGTGGCATCTTTGGTACATGAGAGTTTATTTATTTTTTAAATGTTTTATTTTTGAGAGAGAGAGAGACAGCGCATGAGTGGGGTCGGGGCAGAGAGAGAGAGAGAGACACAGAATCCGAAGCAGGCTCCAGGTTCTGAGCGGTCAGCACAGAGCCCGATGTGGGGCTCGAACCCACAAACCGCAAGATCATGACCTGAGCCGAAGTTGGGCGCCTAAATGAGCCACCCAGGCGCCCTTGTACATGAAAGTTTATTAAGTCTAAACATGACAACAACAAACTTGAAGACTTCTGGCCCCAGTGTTTATTATATAGAATTGTTCACAGTAACAGGGTTTAAAGACAAAAACATGAATAAAGGATGCAAGTTTACTGAAAAGAAACACTGAAAACATGGCTATGACCTTCCAACAAACTCAACAAACATACAAACATTGTCAGAGACACCCGCGTAGTTCAAACTGTAGATTTCACACATTAGATAATTATTTTCTGCTGAGGATACAGCAATGAGTAAGAGAAAGTCTGGTCTCATACAGCTTCTGGTCTCACGGGGGCAGACAGATACCACATGAAAAACAAATATGTAACATGTCAGGGGAGTCACGGGAAGGAGAGGGGAGGGAGGAAAGTTTTTGTACACTCAGAATTCTTAAGAGCAATCCGGGGCTGTTTTAAAGGTCACAGGCTGGGAAAAAGATAACAAACTGCCAATTCTTTTTTTTTTTTTTTTTTTTACGTTTATTTATTTTTGAGACAGAGAAAGACAGAGCATGAACGGGGGAGAGTCAGAGAGAGAGGGAGACACAGAATGTGAAACAGGCTCCAGGCTCTGAGCAGTCAGCACAGAGCCCGATGCGGGGCTCGAACTCACGGACTGCGAGATCGTGACCGGAGCCGAAGTCGGACGCTCAACCGACTGAGCCACCCAGGCGCCCCCAAACTGCAAATTCTATTTAAAAAAATAACTTTACTGGTTGTAAATTTCTGGTCAGATTCTAAAATGCTCTAAGATGCATAGTTCTGAGCAGCATTGCTAATTTTCGAATTAGAATCTACACTAGTAAGTGGTTTATGGCTGTCCTAACAATGGAATATGGCCCACGTCATATGGGAGGGCAAGGGTAAATATAAACATGAAGGTATGTGTTTACGGACCCGTGGCACTACTTACAATGGCTACTAATCTATGATAAAGATTTCTGGCTGCGATGATACAAATCTTTTACACAAACTCTTAGGTTACATTCAGCCTCTCCGAGAACAATCCATATTGTGATCACGAGGCATTTTCTCGGCCACCCCGAGGACACGACACTTCCAAGCAAACTATTCTTCGGGAAAAATACTCCTCACTTTGCGAGGAAGCACCTCCTGGCTGTGTTACAAGCAGACCATAATGCGGAATGGAAAGGAACTGTGTTTTCAGGTCTAGACAACGAGGCCAAAACCGAGCAGCTTTGCGTTTGCTGCTGCTGCTGAGACGTGTGCTCACCCAACACCATAGAGGTGAAGACGCACGCTGCCACATCGCGGGGCCCAGCTTTGTTGCCGGGGTCAATCTAGGGCCTGGGTGCTGGCCAGGGCCGTCGCCATCAGCTCGGCATGAAAGCCACAGGGTGGGGGACAGGGTGTCCGAACACGTTCCTATCACCTCTACAAGCAGAGGGCCAACCCAGAAGGTCTGCCTGCAAGGAAATGTCTCCGGTCAGAAAGATCAAAAGGCGAATGTGTGCGGGTCACCTCAGGGATCCCCCCAGCGCAGGCCTGTGTCTCAGAGGGGCTCCGGGGCCTTCCTGACCCCCGCGGCGCTCTGCCCGCAGCCTGGACGGCAGGTCCCGGAGAGCGCAGGAAGCCCGGAGAGCGCATGACGTGCAGGTGTACGGCCTTCCCACGGCAGCCGCCTTCAACCTTTTCTTCCCCACGGAGGAACCTGTCACCTCCGTGGGGACCACCGCGTACACAATACTGGCCTTAGGTTACGGATGTCCCAGCGCACCATGTCACTCCCATCTCTTCTCCCTTCAGAGGCCGCCAAAATTCCCAGACTTCCTTCCTAAGGGAAGGATCTCCGTGAATAGTTTAAATATAAACTCTAGGTGGCCTTTGGAAAACACGTAATTCTTAAAATTAGGTTTTCCTTCCAGTTACATTTTCTTCCTCACCTCGGCAATACATTTTCCTTTTCTTGAGCACACATAAACGAAACAGAAGGGATGCCTGAACACAGCTACACACACAGAGAAGCTGGCTGGGTTTGAAACACGACACAGGTAAGTTACAGGTCAATTACATCTCAATAAAACTGAGAAAGGAAAAAAAAAATGGCACATGAGCCTAGCAACAAGCGACCACACGGCACGTTAATAATTAAAAGGTGATTAGACACATTACTCTTGTTTTTCATTAAAGTCACCTGCTTTCCTCCTACTGCATTATCTTCTACTTCTTACTCTATCGGTAGCAAATTCTGGTCTCAAGCCTTCCTGCATACACCTGGCTCACCTCTACATACTTCCTTCTGCTAAAAAAAAATCCTAACTTCTCTAATTAGACAGTTTGCCCTTTCTCTGTAACTTCGGTGGCTGCGAATTCAGAAGCTACTGTTCTACTAAGTTGTGAATTAAGTTCTGAATCGGGAAGTGTTAATGTCTAGCAAAAGATTACCTGTTTTGAAGCCTCAACCACAGAAGGAAGAGTAACTGTGATGTAGAGCCAGTGTTTCGGGGATACCCGGAGAGAAGTCCCCTGAAAATGTTACGGATCCCATTCCTGGCATCTGCAGATGTTTTCTGGACTGTTTTCCAGAAAACCAGTGGTAATGGAACCCGGCTTCTCTAAGGAAATTTCCCAAGGGCCTACAAGAGTGTCTAACTGCTCCCCGAAAAATCCTGAACTATCACACGGGGAATGAGGATGGCGAACGAATGGGTGACGCGCGGCCACAGGCAGCACGGTGACCATGTTACCCGACAGGAACACAGTTAACTACCCTCGGTCACGGCTCCACACGTGGGAAAGAATACAGAGAACGTGTGTCCCGATCTGTGTTCTTCCGTTTGCAAACACCGCCGTCACCTGCTTGCCTGTATTTTAGGACCTACGACCCGGAGATGTTTTCCTTCCCCAGCAAGCCGGCGCGGAGGGACCGAGCGGCGCAGCTCGCACTTCCGGCGTGCCTCCCACGCAACTTCCGGAGGGTGTAGGGCTCGCTTTCGGTCACTCGGCTTCCTGCTGCGGGAAGTCTTCGCCGCTTTTGCTGTCGTTGCTGTCGTCTTCGTTCGAGTAATTTCCCGAATCTTGACTGGTTTGGGAATTGTATTTTTTGTGATCTTCACCGATTTGCTCAGTTTCTTCTACTGCGGTGATAATGTTTGTATTTTCGATTATAAAACACCTTTCAGTTTGCTCTTCAGAAGTGAAAAGGAGGAGGTTCCGGAGTGGCGGCTCAGAGAAATACTGATTTAAAGAAGGGGAGGAATGGAAACAGGTTGTTTAAAAGAGTTAACAGTTTCCTACTAATAACCTAGTTTCCGTCTCCTACATCCAGTACCGAGAAAAGCTGTCTTTTGGCGTGCATATGAAAAAAAAAGTCAGCTAAGAGCCTGTCAACCCCAGTCTAAGGTTTAGAACACGGCCACTTGTGAGGTCACGTACAACTGAGCACTGTTAGGGTCAGGGGCCCGGTGAGCGCGGGAGAGGACGGAACGGGGCGGGGGGGGGGGGGGTCGTGCTCTGGGATTGTGGCGAGGGTGTCTGGAAATTTTACCCCGTAAGGGCGCTCGCCCAGGTTCTCTTCAGTGATCGGCTGGAGCTCACAGAGTGAACGTGTGCAGACGGATTGTGGCTGATCAACAATTCGCCTCCACGTCTCTGGAGCTGCAAAGCCGGAGCCCCGAACGACACTCTCGAGGCAGGCAGCCTGAAGCCCACCTAGGTGAACCCACCATCCCCAGGCCAGGTCCTTGCGCTTGGGCCTTGATCCTGCTTTCATTAATTAAATCGGCTCCCCTCACAGGTGTGCCAAACAGGAACCTGCGAGGTATCGCGAGAGGAGGCTCATTCTCCTTATTTCCCTGTCTGTGATGTCATCTACAGAATACGCTTTGTGCAACTCACGACAATGTGGTAGGCTTTTGGTGACTACCAAGCCTTTCTTCCTTTTTTGTTTTTAATATGAAATTTATTGTCAAATTGGTTTCCATACAACACCCGGTGCTCCTCCCAACAGGTGCCCTCCTCAATAGCCATCACCCACCCTCCCCTCCCTCCCACCCCCCATCAACCCTCAGTTCGTTCTCAGTTTTTAAGAGTCTCTTATGTTTTGCCAAGCCTTTCAGTGGTAAAACAAATGCCACAGGGGCCAAACTGCCAGAATCCTAGGAGATGACGGACACATGTTACCAGTCCATGTTATGTGATGTTAAATGGCTGTTTCTAAAGCCAATTTACTGAAAGCTGAAGAAAACAGCCCAGTCTGTATTAGTTTCTGCGTAACAAGAAAAAAGTATGGATTCTGTTGAAACGAAACGTACTTCCCGTTCATTTTAAGAAAAATCCACCTGGCGACACAGAAGAGTAACATACCTCATCTATCGTGGAAGGAGGTTTACTTGATGGGAAGAACACATAACGGACACATCGCAGGAATAGTTTCAGAACGTAAGTGACGACCGGGATGGACAATAAGGCAGCACAAATCCCAGCTATGAGCCACGTTCTGGAAGTACTTCCTAAAACAGAAATAAGTGATGTTTAGCTTCAACGTAAGTTTTGACACGCAAACGCGTTAATAGTGCTGACACCGTGTGCGCATAACACGTAGGCACGTGAAAGGAAACATAAAATGTAGGCAACCGTACGCCCTTAGAAATATTTCCGGTAACACTGAGCATACAGCAGCTGTGGGCAACCCACTTCCGTTTAAAGATGGTGGCCTGGCCAGTGAAGTAAGAGAGGCTTAGTGAAGGAGGCCGCCGTTGATATGTGGCTCCCAACGTGCGAAGTATTCTCTAGCATTTCTGCAACACACAGCTGGCCTAATTAAAACCATTCTGCGACGAGTAAGTCCCTACAGGTCAACACTAGGAACTGGAAAATACAACACGGGACTTCACCATTCCCTCGTAACAAAATTCACAATTGAGCTACTTAAGCGACTTCCGCGTGATAATCGTATTAAGAATGATGTAAAGGGGCGCCTGGGTGGCGCAGTCGGTTAAGCGTCCGACTTCAGCCAGGTCACGATCTCGCGGTCCGTGAGTTCGAGCCCCGCGTCGGGCTCTGGGCTGATGGCTCGGAGCCTGGAGCCTGTTTCCGATTCTGTGTCTCCCTCTCTCT